TACTATATGCTTGTAAAAAATCACGTTGATCAGATATCGATAGCTATATGATCGGATTAGTTTTTTTTGTCAGCTGTTAACTGTAACACCATCCATTTTTTTTTATATACAAAACTGATTTGATCATATAGTTAGCGATATCCTATCAACATGATTTTTTACAAATATATAGTACTCGACGAGTTTTACATATTAACGGTTCATATTATCAAAATGGAATCCGTGATGGGTCCCCACGGGTCAAACAACACTGTCTTGTTTATGCACCCGCCTGTTCCCTTTGTCCAACCAAAGTCAGCTAGAGTACAACTCACGTGAGAAGTGAGTTGTACTTTTTTTTTGTGTAAAATTAATTTTTTTATATTGTTTTCGTTAATAGTAATAACTTTTTGACTTTTTTTAAGAGTGCCAAACCAGCCCTTAGAATCTCTTATATTGATTATTCAAAATGTTGACAGGGAAACAAAGATAAAATTAGGGATGTGGGGGTGAATATTGTGATAGCACTCGCGCTGTCTCAACTCATGAGGTTTATTCTAATCATATTTTGATAATCTGAATTGCATATTATAAGGATTATTGAGCATATCTTACATATAAAAAATGAAATTAATCGGACAGATATAATCCATAATCAATAATAACTATAAGAATTTAGCAAAATTATGCTAATCATTTATTTTTCTTAAATATAAAGTCAACAAATCTTACATTATGAATAATTTAAATCATTAAAATAAATTTGAAATATGTTCTCACGGGTCACAATAGAGTATTATGCCTGTCAAGCACAGCACTATCTCCAAGTTCATCTCTTATGCTTTCTAGTTGTACATAAATCTCTTATGCTTTCTACTCGTACATATTCTCAACAAATAGGCTAGGTGGAAGATGAGTAACATGAAGGACAAATAAGAAGTAACAAATACGCCTCAAGAAGTTAGCTATTTTAATAGATTATTTTAATAGGTTAAAATTTTTATGTTTAAAAAAATAGTTGGATTTTTTTATAATTAGATGTGATGTTTGTGAAGAAAAAAATGAAATAATTATGAATTTAGTGTGATATTTTATTTTAGCCTATTTTATATTTTTATGAATTTTAACCTAAAAAGTCAAATTTTAGCCTTTACCAAATAAGACCAAGATATGATAAGGTTAATCCACCAAATCACATGATCAAAAAAATCATGACCATCCAATTTTAGAAGCCCTAAGTTGTCTTTCCCATTGTCCGCTACATCCCCATGATGGAGACCTTTAGTGAATGATACATTTCATTTTCTCATTAATTGAGATAGGAAAGAAAAGGTGGGATCCCCTCCTTACTTAAAATATGCCATTAGTTAGGACTATGAAGTGTTGCAACGTCATATGAAAGATGAATTGATTTCTAATTAGAGAACCACTTCAAGCAAAAAAATGTTATGCACCTAGAATCATTGTAAAAATTATTTTAAAAATGAGGCGTGTAATGTAAATTTAGAATTGATTTGATATGAGTCACATTCAAAATAAATATAATCTATTAGTATAATTTTTTAGATAAGTAACATTTGTTGTTTCAAGCATCTATTATTATAGAATTATATAGAAAAATTTTTTTTCAGGCAAAACTCTTTTTCTTTTTTTCCCGTTGTGATATAGTTTTGGAACACTTTAACGCTTGTCATTCAAAAATAATCAAAGAAATCCATGTAATTTTAACTAAAATACAACGTTGACGACGATCGGTGAAAAATAAACTTTAATCCCCCTATACCATCTTCTCTCTCTCTTTCTTCTACTATATATATAAATTTTTATTTAAAAAGTGTTTCGAATGACTTAAATAAATATACTTTTGACTTTTTATAAAAATATGTATAAAAAAATAAAGAGGCAGTATGACCTAAAAAATATAAAAAGATAAAAAAAAAAGTGCACTTTTATTGGTGATGTCAAATAATGCCTTAATTATATATTAATCAATTAATTACATATTAGTAGCAACCAAAAATTTTATTTAAATAGACTAAAAAAGAAAAAAACTAGCATTTCACTAAAAAAAAATTCAGTTTTAGCAATGAAAATTTTGGTCCCCATGATGGAACTTTCAGTGAATGATACATCTCACTTACTCATTTGATACAAGACAAGAAAGGAAAGGTGGTATTACCTCTTTACTTTATATTAAGATGCCATATTACTTTAAAGTGGAAAATTTGTCATACATGAGAGAGTGATTGCAAAGTCATATGACAAAATGAATTAGGGGATCATAACAAAACATTTACAATTGTGATTAAAGCAATATAACTATTATGCCTTTTTTTAAAATTTAATTTTTAATTTTTAATTTTTAATTCTGAAAATTTTTAATTTTGAAAATTTCTACTCTAATCATACAAGCTAATCCCTAACCAATGAACCAATGTTGTCTTTTAAATAACCTTCACATTCATAAATTACAAACATTTCTTCTTATTTAAGTTGGATTTGAATTTTAAATTTATATAAAATAAAATAAAAACTTTTATTTCATTTACTCTTTATTTTTATTTTTTTCTCTTACAAATTGAAAATTCAAACATAACAGTAAAATCAAATTTAGGTTGGACTGAGCTAAATTCCACCAAAGAGAGACTCAACTGGTCTCCTAAAATCAAGATAAGGGATGTTGCTTAAAATGTCAAAACTAACCAAACCAAGAGGACAAGAGAGATACTTTTACTACACTCAATAATAAGTAAATAGACCAAATCAAGTGGGGAAAAAAATAAACTTATTTTTCACTCAAGCCCACCCGAGAGAGAGAAAGAGTATCTAATTCGTGGGGTCTTGCCATTGACAAATGTACAGAGGGTCTTCTTTTTTCTTTTTCTTTTTTTGCATATGACTGGTGAAATTAGTTTCTTAGATTAGTTGGTCCAATGAGTCGGTTAACCATATTATCAGAAAAAATTGACAAATGTACATGGATCATAATTTTCAGACTCATCAATTTTGTAGTTAATCTAATAGGAGTATAATTTTATGCAAGGTTTGGAAGTATAGTGTATTGCCCATCATATAATTATCACAAGAGTGTGACATATTTCATTTTTATTTACAAACTTTTTACCTCATCAAAACTAAAAGATTTGAACTCTTTTTCTTTTTTTTTATGTCAAAAAAAAAAAAAAAAAGCACAAGTGTTGTATGAAGAATATTACACTCTATTTGGTTTTGAATTTTAAAAAATAATTTTTGAATTTTTTATTTTTCATGTTTTGCAGTTTTTAATGAATTTTTTTCATATTTTAATAATTTTCTTTAGATGCAATCACCTGAAAACGAAAATATTGGTGGAAATTTTTTTAAAATAATAATAAATACAAAAAATACAAAGATGTACTGATTTTTTTTGTTGTATTTAGTAAAATTTTTAAATATTTTTTTAAAAAAGTAATTAAAAAATTTTTTAAAAAAAATTCACTAAAGACACAAAAATATGAAAACAAAAAACTTAAAAATTCAAATGTTATATTTAAAAATTAAAAACTAAACAGAGTAATCACTTTTGGAAAAATGAGATTGACTAGTTTAATTGGTTAGAATTTATGCATCTCACTAGTATACCATAGGCCCAATCACATGTAACTACTCTTTTTTTCCCCCAGATTATAGCCTCTAATATACTAAAAAAAAATTACACTACTATTTTGAGATAAAATTAACAAAATCAAAAGTAGAAATATAAATATTTTGAGGATTAGAAATATAAATATTTTTTGGACTAAAGATGTATATTATTATCATTTTGTGAATGTTTTAGATTATCAATTCAAAAGTTGATGAATGTGAGTCAAATTATAAACTTTATACTTGTTAAAGTTAAAATTTACCATATAATTAAATAATAAAATAGTATAATTTCATATTTTCTGAATCATAATTTAAAAAAAAAAAAAAGTTATAATCAAAATCAAATGAGACATATTAAAAAATCTCATAAATCATAACTAAAAAAATAAAATGGCATAAATAAGAGTACACATAATATATCCCTTTCAAAGGATGTATACAGTAGAATTTTTCAAAAACTTAAATTATGAAAGTGAAATAAAACAAACACATTAGCCCTGTTTGGCTATCATTTTGCGGCTTAAAAAAAAACTACAAAATGACAAAATAGACTAAATAAGTTAATAAGATAAAATATCACATCCAACACATAATTATTACATTTTTTCTCTCACAAAAGTTAAAAAAATCAAAAAATCAAAAAATCCAAACTAAATGAGACTAAACAAATCTCAATACAAAAAAAATTGATTATATTAACTAATGCCAAACAAAACTAGTTATGCATCATGAGTACATTTTATCCCAAGATAATATAACATATACATACGGGGAGAGCCTCCCGGAGAGGCTTTCTCAAGTCCATATTGAATTGGAGAGAATTGTTAGACATCTGGAAGTTTACCATGTTGTCCGCATCGATAGCCCGGACCTTTAAATATATAAAACTCATCGAGTACTTTATTTTTGTAAAAAATCATATTAATCGGATATTAATAATCACTTGATCAGTTATATTTGTGTCAACGGTAAATATAATTTAAAAAATAAATTGTTGACACAAATTTGGTCTGATCAAGTAGCTATCAATATCCGATCAGTATGATTTTTTTGCAAGAATAAAGTATTCGATGAATTCTACATATTAAACGGTTCAGATTATCAATGAGACCTTTGTGATGGACACACTGAAACCCAACAACACTCTCCATCCCACGGGAAGAAAACCCAAGTCCCATACATAAATAAATAAGTAAAATAAACTGAACAATCAAAGGTTGGACACTTTCCTTATCCAAAATCCAACTGTTAGGGTGGTTTTCGGATTTGGTATCCAAATGTTTTTGTACCATCCATGGGTTTTCAGGCCCACTGTCACACTCGCCACAGTACCGAGTCACATGATATCATTGAACTCATTCCTTCCTTCTCTTTCATCAATCCTTTTTCAGTTTTCCTCAAGTAAAGCATATCAATGGCCCAATTGTTTTTTGTTTTCTTCCAAGAAAATAAAAAACAACCCAAAATATTATATATATTTTTCTCGACATAAACATTTATACCCTCGCTATTCTCAAATCCCATCTTTTTTCTTCTTGTTCTTTTTTCTTTTTTCTTTTTTTTTTTTATTGGTATTATAGCCTTCAATGCCAACTTCCACAGTAATTTCAGTAACCCAACTCCTCCATTGAAGGGAGAATCACAGATCTTGAACCCTGGATTGAATTTTCAAGATGGGTTCTCTGGTTTTGATAATGGGTTTTTGTACGTGGGTTTGTTTCTTTAGTTTCACTTTCATGTCTGGGAGCTCACAGATTGGGGGAAGAGCTGAAACTGTTGGTGGGTCTGTGTTCATAGATGGGAAGAGTGTCATTGGAAGGACAGACAGTGATTTCATTTGCACAACTTTGGATTGGTGGCCTCCTGAGAAATGTGATTATGGGACTTGTAGTTGGGAACATGCTTCTCTGCTCAATCTGGTATATGCTTCTTTGTAGAACACATAGCTTGATATACATTATTAGATTCATTTCTTAACTGTTAGAAGTTTTTGAGATAATTGGTGACTTAACATCATATCAGAGCTTTTTAAGTTTTGTGATTCTGGTTATCTCTGTCATTATGAACTCTGTTCTGTATGTTTTTGTGTATCTTGTTTTTTTCAGTCTGTTTGTCTCTCCACGTGTTGTCTCATGCATGAGAGAGAGTGTTAGCTTGATGTACATGGTTGGATCCATTTCTTAACTGGAAATCCTGGTTCAAGTCTTGTCGCCCCGTTATCTTACTTATTGTGTACTCTGTTCTATCGGTTCTCGTGGACCTTGTTTCTCAGTCTGATTGGTGAGGGCGAGTATTAGCTTGATATACGTTGTTGGACCCATTTCTTCAGATTTTGGGACAATTGGTGACTAAACAACATTTGCTATGTAATAAATTGGTAATCTATTTATGTGAAAATGAAAATTAACTATGGTTTGTTGCTTGCAAACAATAGGGTTAATGTTACCATCTCTCCGGTTTCTTTTTCTGTTTATTGCAGTGTTTATATGTTGTGTTAAACTATGTAAGTTCTATTTTGGGTTTTTTTCTTTCTAGGCATTTTGCAAGAAAAAATTTGGTTCTTCATGGTTTGTACAACATTAAGAGTAGGGTTTTTCTGAGTTCACCTAAGTATTGTAAGGTTTCTTTTTGTGATTCTTACTTGAATATTATAAACTAATTGATTGTTCAAGATGTTGGAAAGTCAATTAATTGATTTGTCCATATAAAGATTTGAGGTCATTAAACAATTGGACCAATTCTTTCTATGTCACTTAGGTTCTGTTTGGATAGATGCGTTTCGAGATTGAAATCCATGCCTAAACTATCATTTTTTAAATTTGAACTATTCTCTTCGAATGATTAGTGTCCAATCCTTCCATTTCAAATCCATAAATCCAAACACAATCTTATAGTTTTTCTTGAGCAATACAGAATTTAGTTTTGGCTTCTCAAGCATTTAGGTTAGCGTGGAAAAAACGAAATGCTTTTCTTTTATTTTACTAGGTAATGTTCAAATAAGCAGACAATACTTTCTGAAATTTGTTTGGTCATTCTTTTCTGCAGGACCTCAATAACAATATTTTCTTAAACGCCATAAAAGGTTTGAATTCATTCACAAACATGCTTCATTATTGGCAGCATTTTTTTCTCTTCTTAATAAATTTCATGAATATTTAATCCTCTGTGTAGCCTGAAAGTTCCTTAATTTGCTGGAAAATGTTGCAGCGTTTTCGCCACTGAAGATTAGATTAGGCGGAACTTTGCAAGATAAGATCATGTATGAAACTGAAGATCACCAACAACCCTGCATTCCGTTTTCCAAAAACACTTCGGAGTTGTTTGGTTTCACCGAGGGGTGCCTTCCCTTGTCCAGATGGGATGAACTAAACGCCTTCTTTAATAAATCTGGGTAACTTGAATTTCCATCATATTTCATGTTGTTTACCTCAAACTTCATCAATGAATGATTTTGTGTGTTCCAGGGCTCTAGTTATTTTTGGATTAAACGCTCTCAATGGAAGATCCATGCAGTCTGGTGGTTCTGCTGTAGGAGCTTGGGACTCCACAAATGCTGAATCTTTAATGCGTTATACTGTCAAAAAGGGCTACCAAATCCATGGATGGGAGCTTGGTAAGAATGCTCTTTGTTAAAAAAAAAAATCCCCTTAATATATTAGTATTATTTAAGAATATTTTCTAATTATATAAGTTCGTCCTATAAACTCTTTTTGGAAAATGTAACTCATTGCCCTAAGAATTTTTTCTTTTCCAAAAAATATTAGTCAGATTGTATGCGTTCGTCCTTATGGTTATTTGTATTATCTACATATGTGATTACGTATAGATGGAAATATTCTTTTGAAAATGATGTAGAAATTTCAACAATTTATTGTCTAGAAATACCTATGTCCGTTGATTAAAATTTCATTTCGCTATGTTGTTTCTGTTAGCTTGGAAACAGAACATCTCAGAAACATAAGAGAAATGGCAAGATAATTGGGACTTGACCAAGCTTGTTTCGTCTTCTCCTCTCAATCTATCCTATTCTCGTTTCAAAGTTTAAGATTTTTCTGTTCTCAAATATTTTCTTTTGACAAAATTAACCAGTATTATAAAAAATTATCATTATTAGGTATTCCTAATTGGTGCTGAACCCAAAACAACTCATTTTTTCAGCACGTTCACCAAAGCAATATATTTTGGTGGAAACTTTAGAATTTTGGTAGTTCACTAATATTTTGTTTCAGTTTCCTAGAAAACATAAACATTTCGGCCATTTTGATGAAAACGAGAATTTTTGTTCTTTGCCAATATGGAATAAATCAGAGTCTCTATATATTTGCACCGGTTGTTTGATATTGCTTCACTTTGCAGGAAATGAATTGAGTGGGAATGGAGTTGGGGTAAGAGTTGCAGCAGATCAATATGCCTCGGACATGATCTCTCTACAAAACCTAGTGCAAGACATTTACAGGAGTATCAAATCTAAGCCTCTAATCTTAGCTCCAGGAGGATTCTTTGATGCAAAATGGTTCACAGCATTCTTGGATAAAACAACAAAATCCCTAGATGTTGTCACTCATCACATATATAATCTTGGCCCAGGTACTTTAATTAAACAAAGAAAGTGAATATGAGCTGTTTTGGGTTCCTAATAGCCTGTTTGGTTGCGTTTTTGTTTTTGTTTTCAGACACAAACAATGAAAAGTTCAAAAGCACTCAACGTTTTCATATCATTTGATTTTTGTACAAAAGCAGTGTTGAAAACTCAAAAACAACTTTAGGTGGGGTAGTTTTCAGAAACTTTTCTTGAAAACAGTTTGCTAAGCAAGTTTTTCATCCTTTCCGAAAAATGAAAACATAAAATCTTGGTGGGATTGTTTGAGAGTAGTTTTCAGCAACAGTTTGCCAAGCTAGTTTTTCATTTTTCCAAAATAAGGAAACGAAGAAGACAATCTTGGCCCAAATACTTTTATTACGCAAAGTGAATATGAGCCGTTTTGAGTTCTGTTTGCTTGTGTTTTCAAAAAAAAAAAACAACGAAAAGTTTGGTTCACAAATTAGGTTTTACCCAGGGGCTTATTTGTTTCATTCATAGGAGTGGATGAACACCTTGTTGAAAAGATTCTCAATCCATCTTATCTTGATGGTGAGGCTGATACATTTAGCAAGCTCCAAAGCACCCTCAAGAGCTCTCCAACTTCAGCGACTGCATGGGTAGGTGAGTCGGGAGGGGCTTACAACAGCGGTCGCAATCTTGTCACCAATGCCTTTGTGTTTAGTTTTTGGTAATTTAGCTATGTCTTGTGATGAATTTTTCTGGTTTTTCTTTGGAGGCTTGTTCATTGAATGATGTTAGTCTTTGACATAACAAACAGGTACTTGGATCAGCTTGGTATGGCATCAACTTATGACACAAAAACATACTGCAGACAGACATTGATTGGTGGAAATTATGGTCTACTCAACACTACTACCTTCATGCCAAATCCGGACTATTACAGGTTATCGATTTTTGAAATTCTTACATTACATAGACCCAAAGAGGGTTTTAAATATTGGCCAATGTGTATTGGGAATTTGGACTTCCGATACCAATAGTGTCCGATATCGGCCAATATATAACCGTATTGCCGATACTAATACGTCTCCTGCTACCACATGTTCTATGTTCTAGTACTATTTGTACAAAAACATTTTCTTTCCTTTAATTTTTGTTTCCAATTCATTTGGTTGTGGCTTAAAAGCCAGCTTGTTGGCTAAAAACTCTAGAGCTCATATTTTGTCAAAATACCCAAGCCATATTAGAAAAATAAAAACAAAAATAAAAAGTTAAGAATGTGCCAAATAAATTTAGCTTTTTTACAAGTTTATTTTTAGCCAATAAACTAGTTTTTTTATCTAACTCCCAAAAGGAAAGAAGCTTGAAATCCAAAAATTTTAGGTTACAAAGTTCATTTTGCTAGCACACGGTTGGACAACTTATGTAGCTGTGGCACTTGTGGTTGTGGACCAAGACATGGGCGTTATGGATTGCATGGGTTGTTCGGTTGTGGGCAACACTTTCTATAGTCATGAATGCGCACAATTGTGTGGCTTGGTTCATGTGCATGCCAGGCCCAGCCCGAAAGCCTGTGCAGCCCGAACCTTCCTCAGTGTCAGGTCTCATTTGAGATCGAGAGAGATCCCTTCTTTAGATTCATCACCGTTGAGTCCTATTAAATCGTTCTTGATATTCTACTTTCTTCTTTGTAGTGCTCTGCTTTGGAACCGACTAATGGGAAGAAACGTTCTATCGACAAGCTTTTCAGGGACAAAGAAGATACGCGCATACGCTCATTGCGCAAAGCAATCAGTAAGTTATAATCCAAACTTCAAAGATTGATCACACAGTTAAAGATTTTTCGTAGTTACAATCCAATTAAGAGTCTTCTTCGCATTGCAGCAAGGAATCACATTGCTATTGATCAACCTAGACAATGCCACCACTGTTCAAGCTCGAGTAGTCTTCAATGGCACTTTCACATTACGACACAAACACGAGTCTCGTGGTCATGAAACAAGGATCATGCGAATGCATTGGGGAATTAAGATGAGCGAAATGGAAAGAGAGGAGTACCATTTGACTGCGAAGGATGGGAATTTGCATAGTCAGATTATGTTGCTTAATGGGCACATTTTGACGGTAAATTCATCTGGGGAGATGCCTCCGATGGAGCCTGTAAGCGTAAATTCATCGGAGCCTATAACCGTTGCTCCTTTTTCGATTGTGTTTGCTCACATACCCAATGTTGTTGTCCCCGCTTGTAGGTAGGATGGAGTCTCAGATCCATGTTTAGTGATTTGATCAAATAAAAATAGAATATGATGCATTCTTTCTTTGAAAATTTCTTGCTGAATACTACAATGCAATTTGTTTTAGTAGAAACATCTTTGTAAATGTTGATCAAATAAAAATAGAATATGATGCATTTTTTATTTTGAAAATTTCTTGCTGAATACTACAATGCAATTTTTTTTAGTAGAAACATCTTTGTAAATGTCGCCATCTTTTTTTCAGAGGTTTTGTTTGACATACTTTTTTAACAATTTTTTTTTTTTTAGTGAATTTTAAGTTTTTTTAACTTTTTAAGTGACTTACTAGACTAGGACTTAAAAAATAAGAAAAAAAATTATTAAGTCCTCTAATCAACACACAAAAAAAAAAATTAAAAAAAATAAAGAGGTTTGCTTTAATTTTTTTTTTAATTTTTAATTTTTAATTTTTGTCTTAAAAGAACTTTCTTTTAAAAAAAATTTAAAACATTACATTTTTTAATCTTTTTATACTGGTCACCAAACGGACTAGAAAGATAATTTTTTTTGTGACTAGAAACTTTCACTAATCGTACACTAAAAAATAAATAAATAAATAAAAATAATGCTACTCATTGTGGACCCTAAAAAAGCTTTTTCATATGAAAAACTATATGGTTTTGATGGTTTTGGTGACCAACCATATACAACATTAATTATTACCCAGAAATTATATCATCAAAAGTATACAACACATTTATACACTATCCATCAAATTACATTGAGTTGTGAAACAATGATATGATACATCCACAAAAAAAAAAGTGGTCAGTGAATGTGGTCAAACTCCTACTCAACCTGCTGTAAAAGATCAAGTTAGTAAAAATGTAGTAGATGAAATTTCCTTTGATTTGATGCTTAACTGAGGATAATTAATCAAGAGCTCGGCGGCAGTGACATCAATCGCTCTCCGAAAAGCTTTGAGGCTTGCTGCTTGCAAAAGCCAACCATACAATTGTACCTGTAAGGTAGAAGAAGATCGACGGTGCAAATAGTGATACCTACATAGAAGAAAAAGATGTTTAAGACTATAAGTCGCAAGAAATGTAAGAATATGGATACCCAACAAAGTAGGCACAAGTCCAGTGACATGCCACCGATGGTGTGGCCACCACCAACCTTGTGGGTAGGTGGTGTTTTATGCGGTGTCTGTAGCATTCTTTGACAAAACAATGATACTTAAACGAGGGAATAAGGAGGGAACTTACACTCCATGAATGAGTTGAATCAAGAAGATAACCGGTGAGAGCAACACCTACAATTCCTGGTACAGCCCCCACTGTATTGGTAATACCCTGAGTGGACAAATTTAAGAGAAAAAAAACCATATAAACCCTTAACAAAAAAGCATTGACTGCAATTTTCTTCGACAAGACAGACAAGAAAGGTATATAACATTTTTTATCTTTTATTTGGATTGGAACATAATACTCATGCCAATCTGACCCTACCTCACCACCTGAACCAAGGAATAAAGGTACCATCATGCATTTGTCACGACTGTTTTTCACCCACACCACTAGATGGTTGGCGACCACTTTGTATTTAAACTGCTGGAAATTAGATCGGATCCAACTCGATCGATAACCAATGGAATGTCCCCATGGGTTATCTGATAAAACTATGTATTTGAATCCTAATATGGGACACGTTGTAGATAAGGTGGTTTTAAAAAAAAAAAAACCTTCATCATTCCATATATGCAGGATTCTATCTCTAACTCTAGTAGCTAACCCATTGAATTGAAGGTGCTGTTATGGACGGTTCATGGTTTTGTGATTGTTTGTGGAGGCTCGTAATCCAAGCAATGATTCAGGCTTATGTGCTATATGCTTTTGCTTAAAATATTTTGTATACTCATCTTTTGTTTACATTAACAAATGATTTGACCTAGAGCTAAGATTGGAGTGCTGAAACTACTAAAGAAACTAAATCAACGAAATTGAAATGAGAGAAGGCTTCACACTATATATTATAGTCTGAGGATCATATCAAGGTTGCATTTATGGAAAAACAACTACGAATTTCGAGTTTGTAAGCTTCCGTACCAAGAGTATGCTTGCATATTCAGGTGATATATCTTGATGGGTACAATACAATCCTGCATCACAGTTCATGATATTAAGGGGTCTCCAGAGAATGATAAAATATCAACTATGATCTGAGTACCAAATTTCTTTTGTTCAGTACCTGACAAGGCAAAGCTCGAGAGTGCTAAACCACCGGTAAGGATCGCCACAACTTCCCAAGGTGGCAATCCTAAATTCAAAGAGGAGAGAATCATGCAAGTTGCGGGAGACAAAAAGGCAATTGTTTGGCAAATTTTCCGCACCTTCATGTGCATAAAATGAGAAATGAATGTTAAAATTCCAACTTGGAAAACCAGATTTAAGTTACAGTTTTATGTTATACTTGTAAGCCAAGGCACGACACTTGAGACAGTAAACGTTCTATAGAAGCAATGACAAAAAGAATGATGCAATAAAATTGAAGGTAGCCAGCCAGTTTAACACAATGCTTATAGGGCCTGTTTGGTGCAGCTTCTAGCAAGTTGAAAGTTGATAATTAGAATAGAAAGCATAAGCTAAAAACACTCATTTCTCTACTTTTCAATAATCAGTTTTTTTATGCTATTTCTGTCCCATAAGTTGTAAGTAGAAGTAACACAAATTTCCAAAAAATAAATATAAAAATTATAAGTTGCACCAAACAGGACATAATTTAGGTGACACATTTGACCTTTCCTAATAGCATTCACAATTAGACTAGGAACAGAGATGCAGTCATTAAACAAAGGTGACCATTAATTTTGATTTATAGTGAATATTTGGCACTTAACTCCGCCGGGGTTGTTAACAACTCCGCCAGTCCCAAGCCCGGGTTAAGGAGAAGGGTTGTGTGTTAGATAGCCGACAGCCAACACGTAAAAAGGCCGCTCGGATCCCTTATGAAAATGAATCCATTTAGCACTTAAAATCATTTTAAAATTCATATTATATGTCAACAACCAGAAGACCTCAATTTCAGCTTCTCCTCTTTTTCTTTGTAGTGAAGACTATGTATACTTGCAGTGATTTTTATTTTATTTTCATAAACACACACACACACACACACAGAGAGCTGTTAACAAATATTTAATCCATTCTTGTTTTGACATTTATAATCAGGTTAGAAGACCAACATTTATTGGAGGGTTCTATAACCCTTCTGGCATTTGAAATATGAAAAAATTAGGCAAGTTTTCCATACCGTAGTGGTTTCAACTCCATTGACAATTAAATTGTCGGCAAATTGTGCTGCAATGCTCGTAACAAAAATAGAAGCCAATGGAGGTAGCACAGAAACCTGAAATAGAAAAATACAAATAAAGAAGTACAAATTAATTACAGTGGAAGTCTTCTTCATGTAGGACCTTGAGCCATGGAAAATTCATTTTTCCTCGATTAAAAGAATGTGACATAGGAATAGAAAACCAATCAGTGTGTTTGGTTTTAGTTTTCTGAATTCAATTTTCTGAAAACTGAGTTTTTTGTTGTTAGAATTTACCATAAACCTACACCTACACTACCACCTCACCTACTCCACTAAACCTAACCCACTACACCACTACCACCTCCACTTCACCTACTCTCCACCTACTCCCAAACACACTCCTATATAATAGGAATCCTTGTAATTGTAAAAAACAACACATCAAAATATCAATCAATAATACATATATTTCTACTTGGTATCAGAGCTATAGGTTAGCTCTTGGTGAGCTTCACCTTCCGGCGGGCGGCAACCTTGCCTTCACCGCCCGCCGGACCCTAACCTGTTACATAATCAAATCTCAAACAGACCTGATTCACACCTCACAAAACATCTCATTTCATTCATCTGTTTCGTACCCTGTTGGCCTTCTTCCTTACCTTGCCGATCGGCGCCACCGCGCTACTTGCCTTGCTGTCACCGCCGTTAGACTTTCCGGCGTTGGTTCTCTACTCGCCGCCAGTGCTCTTCGCTTGTCATTTCTCTCCGGCGCAACCCCGTTTAACATAGACAGGCCTGCGGATCTCATTATACTTCTGCTCTACTTCCAAAACTTTCTCGCTAGCTTCTTCATTAAACTTGTCGAGGTCGTCTTGGACCTCCTGCAACTTTTCGATCGAGAGGACAAGGTCAGTGTCAATGTGATCGGAATGTTCGTCCTGAGTTCTATCGGCGACCTTCGATTTCTTGCCGCGGTCAGCTACCATTTTGGGTGGCAAAAAACCTAGCCCGGAAGGAGTCTCTCTCTTCTCTCTTTGGTGAAAATGGCGATGTTCTTCAAAAGACTGGCCAAAGCTGCACCGATCGCATTCAGTCACGCATTTCGTGACCAACCCAAATCGAGTTTCCCCAGTTTTCGAGTTCCCTTCGGAGCAATTACTGCGATTTCTGGTGGAATCTCGTATTACTACTACTTTTCTTCACTGAATTTGGTTCATTTAGATCAAATCAATGAAGATATGGGTCCAAAAGTTGCCCTCAATCCAAATAAGTGGCTTGAGTTTAAGCTGCAAGACAGAGCAAAGGTCAGCCACAATACTCACTTATTCAGGTTTTCATTTGATCCCTCTGCCAGAGAGAGAGAGAGAGAGAGCAGTGAAATGATGGTTTTGAGAGAGAGAACCTGCACTTGGTGATCTTTTGAGCGAGGAAGACTCAAAGATTTTCAAGTACCTAGATTCTCTTGAGGAGAATAAAGAAGAAAAGAGCAAACAGACAGCACATGGGGGCATCCACTTTCTTTTCTTTTCTTTTTTTTATATCACCCACTCCATACCTATTATTTATTATTATTATTATTATTATTATTGTTTATTCTACTTTTTTGACAGGTTATTATTGAAACTACCAACCCATCATTCCACCGCCCACTCCATACCTATTTTTTATTATTATCATTATTATTATTATTATTCTTCTTCTTAAAAAAAAAAATAATACCAAACACCATTGCAAACAATTTACAAATTTGCACCACCAATTATAGTTTATTCATCTCAGGGCACAACTCCGATCACACTTTTACACAAAAAAAAAAAAAAAAAAAAAAAAAAAAAACAAAACAACCACATCCACAGGCGGGATTAACCTTCTCTACTCTGCCGCCAGTCTTTTCTTCTTGCCTCCATCCTGGACAGCCCTTGACGGTGCTGCCTCCGTGTTTCCCACTCCACTGGGCACGATCACTACTCCCTGCTCCTCCACTACAGCATATGGCGGCCCTCCAAATCGGAACATCACGGTGGCCTTCCGCTTCAGCTCCTTGTTTTCTGCCCTTAGCACGCTTATCTCTGCTCGCGCATCCTTATACATGCGCTGCTCTAATCTTCTATATATAGGACTCATTGTAAACATAATGGATATAACATACAATTTATTCTCTCTCTATCAATTTATTTTACATCTCTCTATCAATTTATCTTACATGGTATCAGAGCTTTAGGTTAAGCTCTTGGTGCTCTTCGCCTTCTGGCGGGCGGCAACGTTGCCTTAGCCGCCCGCCGGACCTCTACACATACCTTCACTCCGCTGCCACAAATTCCATAACTGAATTGAACTCTTGTCTCTCTTCTTGGCTTGACTTTCAACCCATTCAAACTATCAAAAACTAATTAGGAATGAATAAAGTTGCCACAACTGTGTCAACTTGGCTCTTTTTTTAAAAAAAAAATAGTAAATAATGCTAATGAAACCAATGCCTTTTACTTTTTCTATGAACTTGGTCACTTTCTTTTTGTCCCTGTATAGTTTGTATCACATGATGAGATAATGACCTATATCAGTTCAGCTGTAGGGTTATTAACACGACTTATAGATTTTTCCTTTTATCCTTACATACACATTTCTCTTCACTGTTCCTATGGCATTCTCTTTTAAATTCAGATGCAAGTATGATAATTTATTTGTATACGTTTCTGTTCCCCCTTTTTCTCTTTGCGCTATATTTTTAACCACTGCACAAGGGATGAAGTTTAAATATTGGAACTGAAATTTTGAATTCTTCAAAACCACTCCAAATTGTTGAAGAGATGGGCTTTATATCGTTCCAACTTTCCAGCCTTCGATAAAATAGTTTTATCGTTCCAACTTTCAACCATGTGAATGCTTCTTATGCCAAAAACCAGGTGGATGAAACAGATAAATCAGAATATCTGTCACTTAAATCCAGTGGTTTATATCTTAAAAGTTCGATACTATAGATTGAACCAAAATCAGCTTGCCTCAAGCTTGTTAACCTATGTTGCATGAACATGAAAACGGGACAAGTTGTCATAATCCTCCTTGAGTTTGCGGTATTTTGTTAGAATTTACCATAAACCTACCACCACTACCACCTCACCTACTCCACTAAACCTAACCCACTACACCACTACCACCTCCACTTCACTTACTCTCCACCTACTCCCAAACACACTCCTATATAATAGGAATCCTTGTAATTGTAAAAAACAACACATCAAAATATCAATCAATAATACATATATTTCTACTTTTGTTTTTTGTGTTTTTTTGTTTTTAGTGAATATTTTTTAAATTTTCAGTAATTTTTTTACTTTTTTAGATGCACCTTACTTAAATGTATCTAAATAGTAAAATATTTGTAAAAAAATATTTTAAAAATTAATAAATACAAAAAAATGTACTGAATTTTAGTTTTTTTTTTTTGTATTTTTTGGTATTTAATGTATTTTTTTAAAGATTTTTTTCACAAATATTATGGGCTTGTTTGGTTTGTTTTTGGGAAAAAATTTTGAAAAAAATTCTCTACAAACAAATTTTCAAAAGTAATCAAACTAAACAAATTTTTTCAAAAAAAATCTCAAAACTTTGTTTGGTTTGCTTCTTTCCAAAATCACTCTCTCTCTCATACACATCAAATCAATCACTATTTTTAAAACTCTCTCTCCAAAACAATTTTCCAAAACCATTTCTGAAAAAAGGCAAACCAAACAAGTTTTCGTACTTTTTATCTCAAAAATTACTCAACAAACACAAACCAAACAAGCCATATATTTAAATGTATTTACGTTAGGTGTGTCTAAAAATTTTTTTAAAAAAAATTGCTTAAAATAGTAAAAAATTCATTGAAAACATTAAAATAGAAAATAAAAAAGTAGAATTTTCTGAAAACTGGAACCAAACAAGCTATGATATTATAAACTTACCCAAGCAGCTTCCGTCAAATTAAGGTTCAGCTCCTCACTACACGGAATATAAGTTGAAAAATCATTACTTTGCTATAAAAATATGTAACAAGGAACACAAAGATGTATTTATCATGGAGGCTTAATGTTGTTGACTAAAAGCAAAATGAAAAAAATATATATATTTGCGTGTGCATGCAAGAGGGCATTCGAATGAATGAATGACTTAGTTGTTTGTTTGATGCAACAAGACTTTCTGAAAGTGCAGTACTACATTAATTCATTCAAAGATTGGAAAAGTTGAAATATCTTAAAGTCACAAAGATACCTGAAATAAGTAGGCAGCCAAGACAGACAAGTGTAGTGACCCCAACTACCACAAAAATGAACATATATCATTGCCCATACAGCTTCACTTCTGAAAAAAGCCTTCCATGGCACATCCTATGAACAAAAAAATCAGTTAAAATACAAAAGGCTAGTAAACTAAAAGTCCATCAAAATAGATTTTTGGAACTTCCAATGGCACAGAAGTACTCTTTGATTGCATTAAAAACAATTATCACAACTTACTGACACAAAAGGGGATAAGCAATAAATAAATAGATAATAGAAATAAAAATAAACAAATTTAGACAATTCTAAATTTGTGAAGTACCCAAGTTGGACACTTGACACGTGGACAAGTGTGTGGGATATGCGTACAACATGTCTAGTTGGACGTGCACCCAATGAGTATGTCTAGGTAGTCAAAGTTTGTCATATAAACACTATTTCACGCTTGAAACAAAAAAAGAAAAATTTAAGAAATATGGAAAATAGCTGAGTTCCAGTGTCCTTGGATAAGAGAATCAGGTTAATCCGACACATATCCTCACCAGACACCACATACAAGTCTATGTAAGATAGCTCATATTGTGTCCCAAACTGAGATTAGTTATGAACTCCAATTCACACACAATGCCCCACTTCATTCACGGGAAAACTTTTGCACTTTGGGATCAGCATTTAGTGAGAGAGAAATAAGTAATTCAGGAATGAATTATAATAATCAAGTCCATTAAGAAATTTGGATGGTGCACTCACTACTTTCTCCGTGCCTAAAATGTTGACAGTTGATGAGACCAATTTTTATCAGCTTGTGTGCTTCTTAAGTGTTGCTATGTCCATAAATTGGCAAAAGGGGGGTGAAGTGAATGCAAATGCTTTTATGTTTTCAATGTAGTAAGTGAAAGAATGGCATGGAGCCATAGACTACTGTTAATTGAAATGTTGTTTTTCAGAAACTCATTGCCGAGGCAATGCCTCACTAATGATGGTGCACAAGTCAGACAAAAATTTGGATGTATTAGTGATGGTTTTTTTTTTTTTTTTTTATGCCAATCATTAATATATCCCAACATATAGAATTCAAAATTCCATTAAACTAAGAATGTTCGTTGTTATGTGGTACAATTAAAGACAACCCAACATCTAGGTCTGGAAAATATTATTGATTGGTGCTCGAGTGAGGCTGGGCATGCCCAACTGATATTGTATCTCTCAATATACAGGACTCTGACCAGCATTTGTGCTATCAGCTACTTGAGGAACTGCATAACTGATATCTATGTTCATATACAACCAAACTGACATAGCTCCAAGACCAATGATGATAATGAGCATCCATTTACAATTCACAAACTTGGTTCACATTAATAATCTAACCTAAACTGTTCAACACATTTCTGACATAGAAAAATATCCTCTCTCTCTATATATATATAAAGAAACACAAATTAAAAAGAAAAAAATGTAGCATACCTTGATTGAGCCACCCAACTCTTGCAAAGAATTATTCCATGATTTCTTCCCAGAGACGGACTGGGGCCCTGTGGAGGGAGAGGATTTCTAGTAAAATACAAGCCAGCTATGAAATAATAATCTGTCATTAAAATTATTCATGACCAAGCCACAAAAGGGGTTACAAGACTGGTAATCTCAAAAGGATTCTGCTCTACAAACTGCATTATTGACCATGATGCAAACCATAAATGTCGTTGATATTGAATAAACTCCTAGATAAGTAGTAAACAGGTTGGCTATGACAAATTTTTAAAAAATAAAGAATAATTGACAAGAAAGAAAAACATGAGCTTACATGACATGGTTGCTGAAGGTTTTCCTTCTTCAAGAAACTGAAATCCCGAAAACCTTCAAATTTTGGGGCAATGACATGAGTAAAAAGTCATAAATTGGTCAGACGCTCATATTGGCAAATCAAAATCCTTCTTGGTTTCAAATTGACTGAAGAATTTCTTTAAAAGAGAGAATTGAAAAAGATTGGTAGCTGTGAAACCAAGAAAATATTTTCTTCCATTTAGCTCAAAAAAAAAAAAAAAAAAAAATGCTAGATGTATCACACAAATTAAAAAAGTTCCTTCACTTCTAAACTGATTGCTTTAGTGAAAAATCTAACTACAAATTCTTAGCATCTTTTAGAACAAGTCGTCCAAACAAAAGGAAGAAGGGGCAATTATCTATCAGTACAAAGGGTGCTACTCATGGAAAATAATTATCTTAGTTTGAAGAGAAGGAAGGATGTGATACAATAAACAGTTCTAATAACAACTACTCACCAGGCTATCCCCAAAAGGCCAAATAGGTAGAATACAGATCCCCAACCAAAATTTTGGATCAGGGGAGGAGCCAAAAGAAACCTGCAAATTTCTCCAAGTCAGAAGTGGCTAACAAATAAACAGCGAGCACCACAAATAAATTTATGCACTAAACTTGGCCGACAGCGCTTATACTGAGACCCAAAAGACTCATACAACAGGAGATATTGATTCATGGATTACATCACTAATAATGAGAAATTTGGCATTGCAGTAATCTGTAAGAATTTATGTATTATTGATTAAGTGGCTAACAAATAAACAGCGAGCACCACAAATAAATTTATGCACTAAACTTGGCCGACAGCGCTTATACTGAGACCCAAAAGACTCATACAACAGGAGATATTGATTCATGGATTACATCACTAATAATGAGAAATTTGGCATTGCAGTAATCATCTTCTGAGAAAAACTTCAAGAACAAAAGAGAGCAACCAATAATGACAATTTACTTGAAGCTATAACCTTTTACGACCTTTTGCACCAATTCTCATCTCCACCACACATAGTTCAAGCTTGAAATAGTCATGAATGAAAACATTAAAGATAACATAACAAATTGCTTGCATGAGTTTTTCAGAATCAAAACATCCCATCCATGACTACTAAAAGGACCAAAAGGAAGCACTAATTCCACAAATAATTTTCCAGAATTCAATGTTGTTTTGTATACAAGTCAAATGAATTTGAAAAGATGAAAATTCAACCGGTGGTACAAAACAGCAGTGGAAGATCATTTTATACTAAAGAGATGCATAACAGAACAACTAGGCCTTACATTCAAAGCAATCTTACCTCAAGTAACGAGAGTAAAAATTAATATCAGTGTTACATGGACACTTCTATTTACCCTCCTGTACCCGTATCTACTGGCTATGATCTAGGAAGCACGGATACGGATACAGATACGAGATACGGGTACGATACGATACGGATACAGAAACAGATACGGCGATACGACAAAATTTGAAAAATTAGAATACGGGTACGGCGGAGATACGTTCGTAAAAAATATTATTTTTACAATTTTTAGTAATGTAGCATGCATAAAAATAAAACTTAAAGCAAAACATTAATGTAGTTATCTTTTGGCATTAACATCAAAAAAAATTCAGCAATTCAATTAAATTTCATCAATTCCAACAATATAGCATCACCCAGGGGGGAGGGAATTTACAAAGTTCATTTATTTATTAATAAGTTTATTTATTTGCTTATAAGAAATTAATTTATGGTGTTTAGTTGCAATTGTAAATTATAATTTATTTGATTTTTCAGGTAATTTGGCCCAAAAAAGACGATGTATTTTTTTGAACTATATTATGTGGGGTTTTTTTAGCATAATTGAAATCCTTAAATATGTATGAAGAAATAAAGTGACATATATTTGTTTTAATTATAACTTTTGAGGACATTTTTTATATTTTTTGCAAAAAAAATAAAAAATGTGACAATTTATTTAGCCATATAGGTTCAACTTTTTTCATAACCAAACACATTTACAACTTATTTTAATTCTTTTAAACTAATAATCTAAAATTTTATAAGTACAAAAGCTAACATATAAATGATTTCAAATGGAGCCAATGTGAAAACCATGAAATTTCATAGTTTTCAGAATCTGTAAATTTTGCTTGAGAAATTGAGAAAAAATTTCCCCTATAATCTCAAATTTAATATTGATTTCACTTTATAGATCTTAAAGAGTATATTTAAAAGAAAAAGAAAAAAAAAATTGTGTACTATAAAAACAAGAGATCAAAAGGGAGAGCGAGACGATAGAAGGACAGGGAGAGATCGATTGAGAGCGAAAGCGAGAGAGAGAGAGAGAGAGCGAGAGTGAGTGAGATTAAGCGAGATCTGTCCACAGAGAGAGAGAGAGGGACAACCCTGATCGATGACGACGACGACGACGACTCCTCCTTGCTGCTGTTCGCGAACCTAGGGCTTGGTTGGTTGATAGAGACGACGACTCCTCCTCCTTTGCTGCTGCTGTTCGCGAACCTAGGGCTTTGTTCGTTGATTTTTTTGTTTTATTTTATGTTACTTTTGTTATTTTACAGTTTAACCCCCATTATAAGTTTTTAAAATTATTTTTTTTGCCCCGCCATATCCCGAAAGGATCCCCTAAAGTATCCTCGCGTATCCCAAACGTATCCGAAATTCAAAAAAAAAAAAATAAATAGGATACTTCTTTGCTATATCTGATACGTACTTCGGAGTATCCGTGCTTCATAGGCTATGATAAATGTAAGAGTGTGAGATGTCTGTCCAATCCCTAACCCAAATTACATGCTTGGATCTTTCTCACGGTTTTTCAAGAAGAAGCAGCTCACATTTAATAAAGAATAAAAGTTTCTAACCTCTCACATGAATGGGAGATAGAAATCTCATTTTTTCTTAAATCCCATTTAATTTCAAGTACATTCCTAAGTAATAACATCATCTTATGCGATACTATTAAACCCTATACAACATATTTACATGTTCAAGACGTGTCCGCGTACCCATACCCAACTTTTGGGTACATATCCTTGTAATCCTATATTTAGTGTTTAGGGAGGTTTGACAATACGACACACCCACAACTGAAACTCGTACCGTATCCAAGTCCATGTAACATAGAACAAAAGTATTCTTAATTTTTTTTTTTTTTTGGGTAGTAGATAAAATCCAACAATGGCGCCAAAGGGGTCAAAACAAAAGATTATCAACAAATTGAGCTCCTCTACAAAATTTAAAAGAGAGAAAGAGGATTCACAAATGTTTTCTTTCAACCAAAAGTGAAAAGTATGAAATAATGACGGTTTTAAATTGTATATAATCATATCTACACCCTTGAAAGTGTGCCGATTTTGCTCCCCCCAGATGCCCTACCACAAGCATAAAGATGAAATTATCTAGGTCTTCGCCACCTTCTTCCAGTAGCAAACTCCTACCCAACACTAAATTGAAATTCAGAATAAGACAACCCACTGAACCCCAAAAATAGAAAAATGAAAACTCCATAAATCTCCTGCCACAGTAGAGTGGGATAATCAATGATCCACTGACTCCTCCACCTTCCAACACATAAAACACCAATTAGGGAGCATAGAGTTTAATGCTGCTATCCCAAAAAAAAAAAAAAAAAAAAAAAACACGGTTGTGGGAACCCCTGTTTTCCAAATTCTCATCCACAAAAATAAATTTTGACCATTTCCAGTCTAGCAAGAATAAAAGGATCTAACAGAGAATCTCCCTCTACTATTTTTCCATCTCATTACATCCTTCCCATACTTGAGCCTTCTAACAATTGCTGCTTGGTATAACACTGTAAGTGTAAAGAAGAAAAAAGTTATCTCTATTCCTAATCAAATATTATGCATCTAACAATAAGAATGGGGAGACTCCTTGTAATTAGATTTCCATGCCTGGAATTTTTTATTGAACATAAATCTGCTGAAGTATGCACTATACAGTAATAACTACAATGCCAAAAGAGAAGTTATTAGGCAGAATGCTTGCTACATTCTGATGGAAACATACCCTGCGACACTTCCAACACTTAAACCACCAAAGACAAATGATACTGCTCGTGAGCGCTCTTCCAATGGTATTGTCCTGCATACAGGGTAGATAATACCAAAAATGTCAACAGAACGCAAAACAAATTAATGAAGTAAAACAGAGATTAAAAAAAAAGGGGTTTAGCATTTCAGAAGACCAGAAACAAAAAATGTCTATCACGAGTATGATCAAGAGAGCATATAGCAGCAGTAATAGTAAAAGATCCTTCCAAGTTCCAATAAAGACACTGCAATCAAAGCATGAACCTCTGCAAAATTCATGGAAATGGTCTTGAAAAATTCCTAGAATGCTTCCAAGAAATAATGAAGAATACTTGCTTTTGGTAACGTTTTCCGTTTTTATATATTTATTATTATTATCTTTTTTTATAATAGGAAACATGTATACATGTTTGGCACACACAAATGTTACAGTAGCCAATCGAAAAAAAGTAATCTCAACTCCAAAATAATTTCAAGGAAAATTTCACAAATGACAAGATTAGAACACCTGAAAAACACAAATGCCAACCAATGATCTAATACATGAACCACATTAGAGAAAAGTATATCCAAATATCAGTTGACACAGTGCATTGAAAAACATGCCTCTAAATTACTTTTCAATGTCAAACATGCCTGGCAATCAGATCGGTTGCAGCTGATGGGGAAACACCTTCTCCTATTCCAACCTATGTTTGTACAAAAGAGAAATAATGAATAAGATGGTTAGGGTCCAAATGTTAGGCTGAACTATAGAACATAAAAAATTTGAATGCGGCATCATTCATATCTAAAAAAATTAACATTTACCAAGTAGTCATACATGAGGTAATGTGAGCATGGATGAAACAAAACTGAACCAGTCAATGAAATCAGTTACACGTCTGTGCAAGGATGATATCAGTGGCAGTTTAAAAAAATTCAATCTATGAAAAATGCGTAGGGTACTAGGGATGTCGGACCAGAATAGCGTAAGTTGATGAAAAGGACTTAAATTCCAACTTACCAATATCCTTGACAAAACTAGTCCAGGCATAAATCCAGCAAGAACAGGAACAAGTGCTGTAGCTAGTGACCAGATCAAGACTCCAATCTCAAGAACTTTTCTGCAACAAGAAGAAAACTAGTTAATCTAATATCTAGATCACACTACCAAAATTAACCCAAAAAAACAAAGACAGAATGCTTCAAGTATGTCTGCGCATGTACTGTTGTTGCAGTCATTTCTGACTCTTTACAAAATTAGGTTCAGGAAATAACTCCCCAACAAACTTGAGTTACTTAAGTTGTGTGATTGTCTGCTTAATCCCATATAAATATATGTGGGAAATCCTTGTGATTTATCAGAATCGAGATGTGGGAATTGACTATAAGAGGATCTGATTCCTGTGGACCAACCACTTGTGCAATCTGAACAAAAACCTTAACATTGGATAGTTGAGGTGGAAAAAAAAAAGTGACAAAAATGAGAGTTCAGGCAAAAAGAAAGCTCAATAAGCACAATATCTATGAGTGATGATGAGTATGCAACATTTGTCTCTACTAGCATAACCTAGGCAACTATTTGGTGACAAAAGAAATTAAGCAAGAGTGGAATTTGATGGATGGATGAAAAAGATTGAACATGAAGAGAGTTCTCAGGTTTTTTTTTTTTGTTTTTCTTGGCCGCTTCTGATAAATGTTTTTATGTTACATTGAACCACGTAAAAAATTGCAGATTGTCACTGATGCTTGTCCATTGAAGTGAATACTAGCCTTTTTAGCTAATCAATTTAAGCATAACTGGGAAAATCTAAATTAAATTTCTGTAGCCTTTGAATCCATCAACTGACAGTAAGTAAACTTCTGGATTAGTATTTGATTGTTGTTGATAAGTAGCATTACCCCTATGCAGCCAGTATGAGAACCAAAAAAAAAAAAAAGAAAAGGAAAGTTTCACCCATCATGAAATTTCTCTCTCTCTCTCTCTCTCTCTCTCTCTCACACACACACACAATTTTTAACAGGATGTAGTGACATAGTTTTGCCATTTTCACTCCTACACAAACTATTGTTTTCTCTCACTTTGCTTTGATAATATGTGTACCTATGTTAAGTAATACATTGCATAGAATGCATGAGCTTCTTTGAGTTCACTACACGTATAGTGGCAATAACTCAGCTTCATTGAGTGCATTAAATTTCTATAATGGAAAGAACTCATAACGTGTGTGTATCAGTATTTTCAACAGATAATATCTGATAATCCGAGAAAGGTCCTCAACAACAGCTGGCAAGCAAAATTCATAGTAGTCAAGCTAGACATCCAATACATGTAATCAAATTACAAATAACTTGGAACTTGAATAACTAACCTCCCACCAAATGTCTTTGCAAGCCATCCCCCAGGCAACTGACTTAATGCGTAACCCCAAAAGAAAGACGATTGCACCAATCCAGCAACAGATGAACTCCATCCAAACTGGTGTGACATTGGAATTATTGCAATACTCAAGTTCACCTACCCATCAGACATTGATACAAACAAATTAACTCAATCTGAAATTGAAAATACATAAATAAATAACCCAACAAGCAATCCTTTACATATATTTTTGCCATAAATTTTTGCTATCATGTCTCTCAACAAATTTAAACCAATCACAACACAAATTATTCAATAATCAATGTTATCATTACACAACTCTTCTTCACTTTTCCCAAAATGCACTTAGGGCATCTCCAACCCTTACTGAAATCTAGATTCAAAATTAAATTTGAGTAAAAAGACATTAAAATCCCCTCCTTCACTCAAACCTATACCAAATTGAGTTTCACTCAAAACTTTTACTCAAATCAAGGGAATCCATTTCCTTTTCTCAAATTTCTATCCAATCCAAACTTGACACTTGGGCATTGTGGGAGCCTTCATTTTCACACAACAAATTTCCTCAGTTCACATTTTTTTGGTTCTGATATCAACTTCCAAACAAAACCTTATGATTCCAAAGTTAATTTCTGAACCATTGGTTTACATTTGGAAGTTGATTTCTGAACCATGAAACTTTGTTCGGAAATTAACTTCCGAATGAAAACTGGTGTATGAATTGAGAGAAAGCTGTGAGTGGAAACAGAAGCTATGGATCATTTTCACCCAAACTTTCCACTAATCTCCTTAAGTCCAACCTTCCACTCAAACTAAACACTTTTGACAACTTTACTCGAATTTGAGTTTTATCCATTAGAGTGCTTGATATCAAATGAAGTTTTTTTTACACTCAAACTTGTACTCAATTAAAGTAAAAGGATTGGAGATGACCTTACAATCTAACAATCCAATCAAAAAATAGAACTATTAATAAAACCCAATTTCCCAAAGACAACAAACTGTATGAAGAAATGCACAAAAATAGACTATACCTTATCCATGTTACAAATAACGAAGGCCAGCGAGGTTGTGCCAATGATTTTATATCTTAGAGGAACGTTCTTCCATGGCGGCCAAGTCCAATCAAAACCCAATTTGTGAGAGCTACTTTCATCCCCCAATCGACCCACAGAAGTCTGCTCCAATTCCAATTCCAATTCATCATCGACTTGAAGCCCCTTCTTCAGTACTAGTCCAGTGGATTCTTCCTTGCTGTCTTTAACATTTTCCTTCTCTTTGATACTGCAAGAAACTGCGAATTTGGAGATGGGTTTTGAGGGGAACACAACACGCAAGTGATGGCGTTTGAGAGAAGAAGGGTTAAAGATAGAGGTGTGAGATGATGATGACGATGATGGGGTTTGGTGTGAAAGACAGAACAAGTTATGGTCTGCTGTGAATGTGAATTTCGCCATTGTTGTGTTGCTCTGTTTTATTGTTGTTGGGTTGAAGGAGGAGGAAGTAGGTACTAATAAATGGGTGTTGAAATGTGGCGTGTTACGCTTTGTTTCGTGTGTGTGCAAGGCTGACCAGGAAGGCGAGAGAGAGAGAGAGAGTCCATATACAGAGTTGAAGAGAGTGGTAAGAGGATCTGAGGTTGCCACGGAAGGTAGTTGCTTGTGGCTCCGATTGAACGGGGGATTGTAATGATGTAATACTTGGTTTTGGATTCATCAGTTTTGTTTGTGGAACCCACAAGTTCGGATCGGGTCGGATCGAACATGCCCAAACATATCTTAAGGTCTCATTTGGTACTCGGCTAGCCCTGGGGTGTGTTTGTTTTGAAAGATTAGAGTGTAAGATTGGATTATTAGTTTTACCAAATTAATAGTCCATTGTTTGTTTCAATTTTTTTTACTCTGGATTAATAGTCTTCTCGAACTATTAGTCTCATATTTGTGGGACTATCTTATCTCATGAGAGGGTAGATTGATATTCCATAGAATTAGGCTCTGAAATATCTATTTTACCCTCATGCTATTACTTGGCAAACAATTAGAAAAGGGTAAAATAGTCTTTTAAACATTTATAAATTATTTTTTTAGTGTTGTTGATTTAAAATTATATATTAAATAAAAAATTTAAATTATAAATTATAAATTTAATTTAATTAAAAATAATAAATTAAAAATTATGACCTTATAAATTAAATTTTTTAGTGTTGTTAAAAAATTAAATTTACATATTAAATAAATTTTTTTTAGTGTTGTTAAATTATAAATTATAGATTACAAATTTAAAATTATATATTAAATAAAAATTATAAATTACAAGGGTAAAATAGTCTTTGAACATTTATCATTATCCAGTCCGTCTAACCAAACATTGGATTCACTAAAAATAGTTCAATCCAGACATCTAATCCCATGACTAAACAAACATAGGATACAAATCCAATCCAACCAAATAGTCTGGGGGCAATGTATCCCGAGACTAACAGCCCGATGAATTGCAATCCCCCCTTATCCAGTCCGTCCAAACAAACACACCCTAAGGCCATGTTTGTTTGGGCGGACTGGATTAGCATTCCCATGACTAATAGTCCTAGGACTGCAAATCCGTTGGATTATGTATCCTATCTTAACTAATAGTCAAGTTTAAAATAATTAATCCGTACTTCAATTGTTTAACCAAATATCGGATTAATAATTTTATTGGACTATTAGTCTAATCCCAAGCTCATGTCCACCCAAACAAACATGGCCTAAGATTACTATTCTATTGCTTTCCTGTTTAGAACTTTCTTTTTCTTTACCTACTCTATGGCTCTCTCTTGTATCATAAGATTATGATCAATAATACAGAATTTCTCCTTATCCTCTCTCCATACAATTATATTGTTCAGTTTTAGGACAGTTTAAATTAGTTTATGCATTTTGCCTATGGTGATAGAGTAGTTTTTATTTTCGGACAATTTAGTTATAAATTTCATGTTATAGTAGCTTTTAATAATTTTAAAATAGGAGTTAATTTTGTATATGAAAAGAGTAGAATATTTAGATTTAGAACTTAGCAATCATAACCATCATCTTAACATAAGTAAAAATAAATTTCGTTGTAATTTTGAAAGTACTTTTACACATTAGCTTCATAGTGAACATAATCCTCAGTTAAATAGTTTTGTAGATTATCAGATTAATTTTGCAGAAAATATTAAAAAGGACGTAGATAAAATTAGTAGTCTTTTGACTTCATCTATAAACTATCTTCGTAATACTCGCAGTATAATTAAAGATCAAGATAAAAAATTAGATTATATCCAAAACTAGTGCAGTTCAATTTTACAAAAAACAAACAAATATAAATTTAGAAAAATTTCCTACTAAGCTAGAAATATAAACTCTAATCTCAGTTATAAATGCTAGCAGCTCAAAACAAATAGAGTTAGAATTTAAACAATTAATTAAAAAAATTCATAGCCAGATAAATCAAATAGCTAAACAAACAGAACAAATTCACCAAATTCAAGATAATTTAAAACAGAAATTAGAAATTTTAGAACAACTAATAAGATCTTCGTAGTGATAAAAAAAGCAAATAGGGACTACCAGATTATTTTAAAACAAGCAGAAGATTTTCATAATAACCTAGAAGGAATCAGTAACTATCAAAGAATAAATCAGTCAGATAAAATATCAGTAAGACAAAATAATATATAAATTTTATTTCTAATCAGATTGTGTGAAAAATTTGAAGAACCATCAAAACAATTACACAGTTTAGAAAATCGTTTAGCTTCTTTAAAAAGAATAATACTTCAAAAAGAAAAAGAAATAGAAGGATCGGTAAACAAACCCCAATCTCAGATAAACGAAGAAGCTATAGCAAGATATTTCGAAAAGCTTAAATTACCGAAGAAACCCATTTTAGAACTTACAGAAAATAAAAATGTTTAAACATCTAGTAAAAGGTAGTAGTAGCAAAAAACGTAATGAAGATGAAGATATTAAAATGGAAGAATTTATAGACGTAGAACAACAAATAGAAAAATTTAAGAAAAAAAAATTAGAATTAATTCCAGCTAAATATGTATATAAGCTAGGTAAGGTTCATAAAAAAACAATATCTATTTAAACACTATGGCGAACAGATGATTAATGTAACTCATGAAGACGAAAAAATAGAGCTAAATTTAATAGACAGAGAAAGCTATAAATATGCAGTAAATGAACACCTTAAAATGACCCACTTAGGATTAATTGTAGGATGAGGTAAGGCTTTAACCAGAGAAAATTTAGTAACTAAAGTTTTTGAATGTCTTTATGATGATAGGTTTGATGATGTAGGACAAAGTATTTTAGGCAGCTATGAATTAGATATGAATTCAAAAGGATGAATAGTTTATTTTACACCAAATTTCCTATTACCAACATCGACCTTTCATAAAAAGATAAAAATAGGAATAGAAAGTAGGGGATACAAATTGAAAAGGAGAGAAAATAATTTATTAGTCTACACAGGATTTTTAGGCTTAGCAGTCTCAGAAAGTAATACTCATTATAGACTTACAAATGATCAGATAGTTAAGTTATTGGGAGCAAAAGGAATAAAGGCACTACCAGCTAAAAAATTTAATTCCGAAGATAATGCAGAACTAGATTGGAATTTAGGAGATTTTCTAGGACAAAAAAGGTTAGCCCCTCAAGATAACTTATTATATCAAAGAGCAGATAGAAATTATGCAGTAAGATTCACTTAATATACATATGTAGCACTAGAAAAATCAGAAGATGATGAATTTAATAGTATAGATAGGGAAGAAAATCAAGATAACCGTAGTGACATAAATCAACTTTATGTAATGACAGAAGAAAAAATAATATCGCAAAATAAGATATATAATATTGATGAGATAGATTTAGAAAATTTCACCCTAACTGATATGAATAAAATATTAGATACAAGATATTATGAATATTTAGCCAGAGGAGATACCCAAGACGAAGTAGTGTCATTTTTAGACCAAGAATTCCATACATAATATGTAGATGATATCATAGAAGATAAAATACATCCTAGCAAAATATTTAGAATGCCAAAATAATCTAATTTAGAAGATACTTTTTACATAAATACAGAAAGCACAGGAACTAGTAACACACAACCAACTATAGAAGATCTCGTAGAACCAATGCATTATGCAGTAGGAGGAAGAAGACCATTAGCTAGTTCAGGACGCAGTAAAGCAGATCCAAATAAAAGTTATAGATTTCATGGAAAGCGTAGACAACCAGATATGAGTATACAATTACAACCAGTCAATAATCAAGGAACCCTTTTAAATTTAGCCAGATTCGACCCTCAGATATGGCAAGAAGTGATAGAAAAATGGGAAAAAGATACGGTAAAGGCATGGACGAGTAATCCCTTTGAATCAACGGATATGTGGGAATATATGGAAACACTTTTAGGAGATTCAGCTTATAATATTTATCTAACTTTTAAAGAAAAATATGAAGAAACAATTAAACAGCTTAAAGAATTAGGAGATAACCCATGAAATTTTACTAGTTTTATAAAAGAAATACTTATAGGATATGACCCTTCTAGAAGAAATGATTCCGCTCAAAGCATATCAATAATCGAGTTAGATCAGATAACGTTAGGAAGTTGGAAATATATTGTACCATTTAGTAAAAAATACTTAGCCATAGCAGCTAGAACTGAAAAAAGTTTTGATGAAGAAATCGGAAATAAATATTTTAGAAAGCTACCCAGAGAGCTAGGAAGAGAGATATAAAATAAATGGTCAATTTATTATGCAAGTTTACCAGCTAAAATAGCCTCAGGAGAAGTAAAAATAAGAGAAACTTTAGGAATAGGACCTAGAATAGTTTATACGTTTTTCAAGTTCAGAGAAAAATGTATAGAGGTTAAAATACATAAATATTTGAAAAAACAAAATTATGATTTTTGTAGCAATATAATATATACTCCTCAGCAATATGAAGATAAATATAATAGGAAAAAATACAAAAAATATGCAAAATATAGAAAAGAAAAATATTGGAAGAAAAAAATATAGAAAACCATGGAAAAACAGAAATTCATTAGAAAGAGTAGAACTTTTAATAGAATAAAATATAAGCAACTACCCAAAGAAAAAAGAGATAAAAGAAAACAAAGATATGTTAGAAAACCCAACAGTAAAAAATGCAATTGTTTTATATGTGGAGAACCCAATCATTTTGCAAAAAACTGCCCAAAAAGACAAAGGCCTAATACTAATAAACAAATAGAAAGATTACATATTATAGAAGACTTAGAAGAAGATATAGTTAGCATAAATAGCGATGATTCAGAAGTCTATAGCATAGTCAGCGATTATGAATATCAAATAGAAGCCATAAGTTTAGAAAGTGATTCAGAAAGTGATACAGATGTAGATAATCTTTTAGGACAACTCAACCAAGAAATAGGAATGACTCCTTCTCATGATACTTTCTTTATGATGGAATGTAATGCCGATACTGAATGCCAACATAATTTTCAAATAGGACTAGGATTTAATACCACTAGATACAGTTATTGTAATTGGTTTCCAGCCACGAATAAGAGAGCTTAGTGTTTATTATGCAGTATAACCTATTGTGTAGT